TTCTGTGAGAGCGTCCACGCGGAAGGAAGAGGTGTGTGTTCTCTCAAATGCGCGATGTTCGCTCGGGTCTTGCCCATGCAGCAGCCACATGCTCTTCTCGGTACGACCCTGGACTTGCCACGGTTACCTGCCGTCTGGGATGGACCTCTCACATCCTTTTCAGAATGCCACTGATAAATTCTGGTCAAGTGTCTGCTCAAAAGGCTGAAGACCCTCAGTTAGGATGCCAACCGCCTTCCTGTGCCAGGTCACCTTACTTAGCCAAAAACACAGCCTGTGAGGAACTCATAACATCATCCACATATAAAGTGAGGAAACTGAGGCACAGAAAGGTTAAGCCTGGATATCTATCAGGTGAAGAAGAATTTGAGTCCAGGAGGCTCCCCTGACCCCTGCAGCTCCACAGGGTCCCATCCTCACCCTCAACCCAAGGGCCTACTGTTCCCCCACCTCCCAGCAACCTCTAGCTGAAAAGGAACAGAAACACCCATCAAAGCTGTGAGTTCTACACAGGAAACATGTTGGCCAAGTGGAATGGGACTGAGTTACAGGAGCCCTCTCTGCACCAACATCCAGCACCTTCTCCCTGGAGCTTTTGACGTGTCACGGTTCACGTGGCAGGGTGAGCAGTCAGGATGCACGCTGCAGATCAGGCAGGAAAGACTGGCCCGACCTCTCCACCGGTCCTGCAGGACTTGGAGACATCAGTGCCGGGCCGCCCCAACTCCTGCACCTGTGCAGCTGGGTGTGCCAGTTCCTTGTTCACAGCCTGGGGATCCCAGGACCGCTGCCCTCTGACCCCCGAGCACGCAGGGCAGGTGCTCAGGCCCGGACTCACTGGCTGGGGAACAGGTTAGGGGCAGAGGGCCAGAGCCACGAGAATGCCAGTGGGGACCACCCGTTAGTGTCACGTGGCAAACCCCGGCTGCTGCCCCCTCCCTCTGCCTGGAAGCTGCAAACACAGCTACTGTGAAGCAAACCAATGCATGCTGGTGGCGGCGACCGCTGCACTTCACTCAAATGCTTCCTCAGCCTCCAGGCCTGAGGGGCTCTGTGGGGCCCAGGCAGCAGGCAGGGCAAACGCTGTCTCTGGAGGAGCACGGGGCAGGGGGGGCTCGTTGCCACGCTTTACAGGCAGAGAACACGGGCCTGTTCCCTTCTTGAGAGGGTGCTTCCTTACGCTTCCCCCGCAGGGGCTGACTCAGGGCATCACGGAGCAGCACCCTCACACAAAGCCAACCGACAGCACCCCAGGCCCTGGCTCCCGCCCGCCCCAGGGCTGCGCTTCCACCCACACCACCCCCTCCTGTCCCTGAGGATGGGAAAGCAGGTCTGGCGGTTCCCTCGATCGGGGCTCTGCTCAGTGGGGAGAAGGCTTTCAGTGACAGCTGCCTAGGACAGTCAATTAGCCAAGGCGGGGCTTGGCAGCCACAAGCCATTTGCAGTGGGGCGACAGGTAATGTTAAAAATGGCCAGTTTACCTTCCTTACCAACTCAGCCCCCATTCTTTAAGACAAATTCCGGGTCTGAGAGAGCAGATGGCAACCACACCCAACCTAGATGGCCATCCCTCGCCTCTGTGCCCCCGATCCCCCGGCCCTGGAGGACAAAGGGGCCCCTGACTCAGACCCCAGGCATGGCACCTGCCCTCGCGGGTCTCACTTTCCTAGACTGGACCTGCACTGGCAGACAGCGCAGGTGCCCAAATGTCTACCAGCTCCACCCCACTCCCACAGCGCCTGTCTCCCCGCTGCACAGCGTGCTGGGGTCACTGACACGAGACGCTGGGCCCACCCTCTAGCCAAGAAAACGGATTAAGAAAAGCAACACAAGCAGTAACAATAAAACTTACATTTATTAAGCAACCACGTGTGCCAAGCAACAAGGAGGGGTCTGCATACCAGCCAAGCCCTGGTGTGCAGGGCCTCCTCCAGTGTGCCCAAGCCCAGCCACACGGCCCACAGAGATGACCACAATCCCACCCCTCCTGTGGCAGTGGGGGCACAGCTCTGGCCAGCGGGGAATCCCTGGTCCCCAACCAGGGGAGAGTGGCCAGGGCGGCTCCCAGGCTGCAGGCCACCTAGCCGGGTACAGGGACCAATGGAGTTTGCTGGGACACACCGCCCATCTCCGCCTCAGGGGCTCTGGCAAAGTCACATTCCCTGTGGTTCTCACAGAAGGGCAGTTCTGCCTACGTCTCCCATGCACCGAAACGGTGTTTGCTCACTATGGGAGAAACCACGTGAGCACAGAGTCCCAGCTCCCCAAAGCAGGCGGGCTCTCCCAGCACTTCCCGTTTTGGTCCCGTGACCTGCTCCATGCAGACCACCGGTGAGACCACCCTTAACTCCTTCAATCTTCCATACCCTTCTATGCAGGCCACGTGTGGAACCACCTGCAATTCCCTCGATCTTCTAGACCCTTCCTACCCTTGCACCTTGGTTCTCCTTCTCTAGAATACCCCTACCCCACACGCTCTCTGTTATGGGTTACATTGTGTTCCTCAAGATATCATGTTCCAGTCTTAATCCCCAGTACCTGCGAATGTGGCCTTATTTGGAAAAAAAGGGTCTTTGCAGATATGATCAAGTTAAGGTGAGATCAGACTGAAGAAAAGTGGGCCCTAAACACTCTGACTAGCATCCTTGAGAAAAGAGGGGAAATTTGGACGCAGAGGAGACCACCACATGAAGACCAAAGCAGAGATGGGGGTGATGCATCTACAAGCCAGGAGCACCAGGAGCTCAGAGAAAAATATATAGCAGATCCTCCCTGAGAGCCCCAGAAAGTCATCAACCCCGCCAACACCTTAATTTTGGACATCTGGCATCCATGCTGTGAGAAAATAAATTTCTGCTGTTTTAAACCACCAAGTTTATTGTGACATTATGGCAGCCACAGAAAATGCACACATCTGCCTTTCCCAGACACTTCCGCTGACAAGACCACTGTCGTAGATGCTCTAGTACATACTGAGCACCAACTGTGCCAGGCATTGTGCCAGGAAAGGCATGCAACAAAGGATAAGTCAGTGACTCGCAAACTTAGGAGCCCAGGCAATTTGTCAAAATGCGACACTCGTAACATTACTGTCAAAAGAGCATGAGGCAGGGAACACCTGAGTGGACCTTAAAGGCTGAGGAGACAAACTTCTGCTCAAATACACCCTAAGGACAAGCTGTATACTTCCCACTGTCACTACCAAGCTAGCTCCCAAGGAACCCCTGGTTTCTCTCAACCCTCTAAGCATGAGTGTAAGACATGGATCTCTGAGCCCCCCCTAGACTGCCAACAAGAGCCCTGGCTACATCCATGCGCTGCCAACACACCAAGGCAAGTACAGGGACTGCTAACCCCATCAGGTCAAATCAGATGAGCACCTGAACCGAAGACCCATTTTCAAGGGTCGGCAGGTTTCCCTCTTTCTGACCTGTTGTCTGGGAGCAGTGCTCTGACACACACACTTCTGCTTGGAGACTTTGGAGAGCGTTCCTAGAGGATGAGTGCAAAGTACAAATAACTAAATGACTGTTAGACCAAAGGTAGCTTCGGGAACAGTCACTGTGCTCATCACACTAGGCTCCAAACAGCCAAGGTGCCAGAAGACCCCCTTGGATTGCCAAGGTGTGCCTCTGAGCCGGATCGCCTGACCCTCTCTGCCTAGCCAAGCATTCCCGGATCAACAGTCTTGGCTCCAGAAGACCACTGGGCTTGTCTCCCGGCAAAGCACTTAGCTTCGCTATATCTCAGTTTCCTTGTCTGTAAAACAGAGATGATGGTAACTGCCACAAGGAATTAAATGAGTTAAGATCTGCAAGGCCCTTGAGCAGTGCCGAGTATGCAGAGCACACCACTTAAGAGTTCGCTAAACAGAAAACATGATTCACTTCTCCGTCTATGTTTCTGCTTCTCTTAGGTCCTCTCTTCCCAGTTTACAGCTTACTGAGGTTCATTGTTAAATACCAACCGCACCAAACGTAGTCTCCAAACAGAGAAGAGACTGAGGACAAAGTACACAAGGTCCTAGCGGGCCATTAAGGAAGGGGGACCCGCGGTCATCAAGGTGACCCCCCGAGGGGGGGAGAAGCTAGGGGGAACCAGGGCGCATCACGACCCAAGAATCCGGAGGGCAAAGGAGAAATCAGGGCAGCTACCAAAGACGATGGGAAAATTCAATCGGGAATGGCTAACACCAATTTCCTTCTGAACTTGCCTTCTACGGAGAAACAAGAAAATTTAAAATCTCGACTTGAAAGCGTCAGGCTCTTGTGAAAGATGCCCCCACACCCCTGTGAGAGTTATCTCGGTAGAGCCACAAGGCCAAACTTACAGGACGCGGGGAAAGGATGTAAAGCGAATCGGTAAAGTTTCTGTTAGGTGAGGAGGCTGGCCGGGGTGTCAGGCTGAAAAACAATTTGACACGCACGTGAGGGCCGCCAAGCGTGGCCGGCAGGTCGACCCCGGGGCGCCGCGCGCTCCGGGAAGGGCTCGGGGGCCGCCGGCTCGGCGTCCCCCGCACGCCCCCGCGGGGGCCTCGCAGGTCCGGGCCCCTCGGCCGGGCGGCGGGCACTCCGGGGTCCTCCCCCCGTCACCCCGAGCGCCCGGGTCCCCCGCCGGCAGCCAGGCGGGCCCCGGGCCCGGGCCCCCGGCGAGCGGGCGCGGGCGGCTGGGGGCCCGGCGGGGTCGCGGTCGTCGGCTGCGCCCCGGCTTTGTTCGCGCCCGCCCCAGACTTAATCCCCAGTACCTGCGAATGTGGCCTTATTTGGAAAAAAAGGGTCTTTGCAGATATGATCAAGTTAAGGTGAGATCAGACTGAAGAAAAGT